TTTCTTGTACATATTTTGCTAGGTTTATTCTCAAGTATTTCATGTTTTCTTGATGTTATAATGATAATTTAAAAAATTTCAGTTTCTGATTGTTTGTTGCTGGTATATTGAAATACCATTGATTTTCTGTATATTGATCTTGTAGCCTGAAACATTGCTAAATCTATTATTAGTTCTAATAGCTTTTTGTAGACTCCACAGGATTTTCTACATAGACAATCAATGTCATCAGAGAATAAAGACAGTTTTACTTCTTCCTTTCTAATCTGGATAGCTTTTACTTCTTTTTAGTGTTTTATTGTACTGGCTAAAATCATCAGTATGATATTGAAATAGAAGAGGTGAAAGTAAACATCTTTGCCTTGTTCTTGATGTTAGGAAGAAAACATTCAGTCTTTTACCATTAAGTATAAGGGTAGCTGTATCATAGATGCCCTTTATCATGTTGAAGAAGTTCCCTTCTATTCCTAGTTTGTTGAGGTTTTAACTGTTTTTATTAGGAATAAATGTTGGATTTTATCAGGTTCTTTTTCCATATTACTGAGATGATCATATGGGTATTCTTTTTTACTCTATTAGTATGGTGAAATACAGTGATTGATTTTTCAATGTTAAACCAGCCTTGCATTCTTGGGGGTAAACCCTACTTATTACAATATATTATCCTTTTTTATACATTATTGCATTCAATCTGTTACAATTTTCATTAAGAATTTTTGCACCTATGCTCATGAGAGAGATATTATTCTGAGTTTTCTTTTTTATAATAGTTTTTTGTCTGATTTTGGTGTGAGGATAATGCTGATTTTATAGACTGAGCTGGGAAATACTTCCTCCTTTTCAATTTTCTGCAAGAGTTTATACAGAATTGTTATGTTTTCCTTAAATGTTTGGTAGAATTTACCATTTAGTCCTGGATTTTCTTTCTTTTCTTTCAAAGGTTTTTAACTACCAATTCAATTTCTTTGAAATTCTTTTCTTTTTACTGTGGTAAAATATACATAATAAAATTTACCATTTTAACCATTTAAGGGTACAATTCAGTGACATTAAAGACATTCACATTGTTGTGCAACCATCACCACTATTTCCAGAACTTTCTCATCATCCCAAATTTGTAAAGAGATACTTTGAAACTATGTAAATATCCTGTTCCTCATCAAATGTTCAACCACTAGCTTAGCATCTATTGCTATTTCTTCACTGTGGCTATTCTAGGTAACTCATATAAGTGGAATCATACAATGTTTGTCTTTTTGTGTCTGGTTTATTTCACTTAGCATAATGTTTTCAAGGCTCACCCATGTTGTAGCATATATCAGAATTTCATTCCTTTTTATGGCTAAATAATATTCCGTTGTGTGCATATACTCCATTTTGTTTATCCATTCACCTGTTCATGGATGCTTGAGTTATTTCCAACTTTTGGCTACTGTGAATAGTGCTGCTATTAATATTGGTGTACAAATAATCTGTTTAAGTCCATGTTTTCAATTCTTTTGGGTATATACCTAGCTAATTCTTATTTATTTTTTAGTGAACTTTGGTAGTTTGCATCTATGAAGAAATTAGTCTACTTCATTATGTTGTTTAATTTATTAGCATAAAGTTATTCATAATATTCCCTTATTAACATTTTAATGCCTTTAGAATTTGTTGTGATGTCACTTTTCCCATTCTTGATATTGGTAATTTTTGTCTTCTCATTTTTTCTTGGTCTGGACAAAGATTTCAATTTTATTTATCTTTTCAAAGAAACAGCTTTTTGTCTCATTGATTTTGTCTGTTTTTCTATAGTTTATTTCATTGATTTCTGTTCTAATCTCTATTATTTCTTTTCTTTTGCTTACTTTAGGTTTCATTTGCTCTTCCTTTTCTGGCTTCTTAAGGCAGAATCTGGGATCACTGATTTGAAACCTTTCTTCTTTTCAAATATAGGTATTAAGTGCTAAAAATTTCCTGCTAAGTAAAGCTTTAGATCCAATCCACACATTTTTATATGTTGTGATTTTTCATTCAGTTTAAAATATTTTCTAATTTTCTTGTGTTATTTTCCCTTTGTCCAATGAGTTATATGGAAGTGTGTGGTTTAATTTCCAAAACTTCGGTGGATTTTCCATATATCTTTTTATTATTGATTTCTAATTCAACTGTGGTTGTCTGGAAAAGATTTTTATTTCACCTTTGTTTTTGAAAGATATTTTCACTGGTATAGAATTCTAGGTCAAAAGCTTTTTTAAAAAGTACTTTAAAGATTTTTCTCTACTGTCTTCTGGCTTACACTGCCTCTAATGAGAAACCTGCCTTCATATTTATCTTTTGTCCTTTTTATGTAATGTGTATTTTTTCCCTCTAGTTGCTTTTAAGTAAGATTTTCCCTTTTATCACTGGTTTTAAGCAATTTGATTATGATGTGCCTTGGTATAATTTTCTCCATATTTCTTGTGCTTGAGGTCATTGAGCATCCTGGATTTGCAGTCATCCTTATCCTGCTTGGAATCTGACACTCCATGCCAGGCCACTGCCACCCCCACTTCTGACATGGATGACTATTGTCAAATTTATTACTTTTGCCAATAAGATTTGTGAAAAATGTTATCTCAGGGTAATTTTAATTTGTATTTCTCCAGTGAGGCCAGGCATTTTAATTGTTTAAAAGTCATCTGTATCTTCTTTTCTGTAAACTGACTGATCATATTTTGTTCAATTTTTGTATTGGTTTTTTGATCATTTTTATATTGATGTATCTGTATCTTTTATCTTTTCTACAATGAGCATGCATTTTTTTTGCAATAAGAAGACACAACATAAAGTAATTTTAAATTCAAAAAGTGCTTTTAAAAACTCATGTAGTTTCCTGGTATCGGAAAAATATTCATAGTCCATGGTAGCTAGTATTTTATTATAACTTCTCAGGGGCTTATTTTCACTTTTCTTTGTGATAAAACCTACATAACTAACATGGAGTATGTGAGCTTAAAAGCCTGAGTCACTCTGGGCTGCTTATCTTTTGACCAGGGGCCCTAGAAAAATCATAAACTCTCATATCTGTAAAGACATCTGGAGCTCCATCACTTCAGTAGATCTTCCAATGGCCCTGGGAAGCTGACAGGTCATTGACAATGATCCCCATTTTATAGATTTTTTTTTTTTTTTTTTGCGGTAAGCGGGCCTGCTCACTGTTGTGGCCTCTCCCATTGCGGAGCACAGGCTCTGGACGCGCAGGCTCAGTGGCCATGGCTCACGGGCCCAGCCGCTCCGCGGCATGTGGGATCTTCCCGGACCGGGGCACGAACCCGTGTCCCCTGCATCGGCAGGCGGACTCTCAACCACTGCGCCACCAGGGAAGCCCCCCATTTTATAGATTTTTAAACCAGAGGCTTAGAAAGGTAAAGTGACTTTATCATATGGAAGGTTAGATTTAGAAGTTACCTTAAAGATGATCTCATTCTCTGTACTCAGAGTTCTACAATTAGTAACTACAGCAAAACTTTGGCTTGGACTCAGGTGTTCATTCTAATAGCAGTAATCAAAGTGAGGATCCCTATCACTATAAGTGCTTAGGGGAGGACAGATAGCTTCTCTGGGCAGGCATACTGGGGGTGCTGGAGCCTTAGGTCTTTCTATGCTCACCTTTGGCAGCAGTCAGCATGGTGGAGGCCAGTTCACACTGCTGTGATTCCAAGTGTCCAAGCGTGAACCAGCGAGGGTAACGGCTGGGCACCACAGATACCATATGGTGAGGGTGGGAAGTGTCGCCTGCAGAAGTTGAGTTTTCTAGAACAGGTAACCTAGAAGACCCAGGGAGAGTCATAAGCTATCACCCAGACCCTTGCCATCTGGAGCCACCTTAGAGCAGCTTGTTCTTTGCTGGGGAGGAATTGGGCAGGAAAGGGTTAATGAAGAACTTTGAAGGTTTTAAAACCTATGGTACCGTACTTTATATGAGGTGAGTGCCTGGGCACTTGTAGAACTCAAGCTGAATAGTTCTTACTGCAAATGGATTTGAAAGACAGTTCAAAAACCATAAGATTATTTTTAAAAGCATAAGAAATATATGCCAAGTAATCCTCAGCAGTCCTTTCTGGTTGAGCTGAGGAGCTTTCTCAGCCTTAGAGCCTAACTAAAATTCTTCTTCTGTATGTTCTGCTGCATCCTAGAGGTCCACCTGCCTGAACCAAGGATCCTATTCTAGTCTGGAAACAGGATGCCCATAGCTCATTGTTCTCAAGTCTTGATATAGAAAGACTTACTTCTACTTCCCCAGATGTATCTGGTGACCTATGCCTGGGAACCATTTCTCAGTTAGGTATGGAAAGGCTCAAACCCCTTGTGAAGCTGCCAAACTGGGCCCAGAACAAAGAGACTCAGGCCTTGGGTGCTCCATATCTGTTAAAAATTCAGAGACTTCCTCAGACAGTTCACTGAGAATGCAGCCAGGGAGCAAGTGCGTCACCAGCAAGGCATCCCAGATAGGAATCCTAGATCGTATGAAAATATCTGAAGCATTTTAGGGCAGGCTGATGGCAGGTACAATCGAATAGAGAAAGAGTGAAAGAGAAGAAAGTGAGATAAACAAAGAAAAAGAACATCTGAGACTTCTGGTTTAGTGGAGGCATTTGGGCTAGGAAAGGGCTACCCACCTCATGGCACGTAAGGCTAATTTATAGGACAGGTCTGGATCATGAGGCAGTAGAGCTGAGAACAAATACTTGGCAAAGGTATGCATGGGAACACTCTCTCGGTGGATGACTTCTCCCAGACCGCTGAAGGGGCCTCCTGCAGGAAGAAGATAAGCCAGCCAGTTATTTATCTGTATGCTTTTATTTGTCTGCCTGGACTTGAGCCTTAGGATCCCACATGTGTTTGCTAGCCATAAGAACTTTCACTATACTTTAACGTCAAAAATGTTGCTATACCTGTGCTCTGTTAGAGAGGGGAACCCAGAGTCACAGGCCTAAGACTCGGTGACAATAGCCCCTTCTCTGCTTACCTTCCAGGAGTAAGATGCACTGCTTCTGCAGTGTTTGCACTAGCTCATCATCCAGCTGCAGCTCCTGGAGTCGACTCAGGAGCTGCTCCTCATTACGGCACACCTTGTCCTGTGCGTAGAGGCCTTCAGGCATCACCCTCTGTTGACCCATCCCCATCAGAGCAACTTCCATGGCCAATGACAGGTAGGACTCACTGCTGTCTGGGCAGCCTGCAGCCACAGGCACATGCTGGTACACAGGGGCTCTGCTTTCATTCATATCTGAGGACAACAGGGCACCGGATTCGGTAGGTCAGGCCCCATGGATTTTTCTGCCTCTCTTCCCCCCACACTTTGGAATACAGCTTGGTCAAGAGCTAACACAGGGAAGCTGAGTCAAACACCAGAACAGTAAGACAAATATACTGAAAAAAGGTTATACAGGGTTACAAAGATTCCTAACTCCTTCCTAATGCATTATCTGGCTAGGCCAGCTGGGGAAGAATACAATCATACTAATCTTTTGCTAGAATGTTATGTAATACTAATTAACTATTTTTGTGTCTGTCTCTTCACTAGAATGTAAGAACCTTAAAGGAAAGAGACTTTATCTTACTGCCTGAGGCATCTCCAGGGCCTGGTATGTGGAAGGAGCTAAGTGTATGTCTATGGTAAATAAACCCCAAGTACAACTTCAGGTTTTCAAGATGTAAGTGTCATTGTACAGATGAAACAGACCAAAGATGATGAGTCCTTTTTCAGGGGATCAGAGGAAAGATAGGGTAGCCCCTACCTTGCATTGGGGCCACCCCCCCAATCTCTACCCACAGAAATCCAAATCCATCCAGTTAAACTATTACTTTTGTGACATTTGAAACTTTTATGTTATTAGTACTTTATATGGTCCACCTTTGGGTTCAAAGTTTCAGGAGGAGAGCACAGGTGTAAAAGCCAGAGTCTTAATTTCTTTCCTTTCCCCTTCCTCCATCTGGTAAATATTTATGGAAGACTATTAAATGGGAGTTACTGCCCTAAGTGCTAGGATCACAATGATAAGTCATAATTTCTGCGTTCAGGGACCTGACAGTCTAGTAAGAGATACTTACTTGTAAACAGATTGTAATGCAGTGTGCTAAATACCGTAACAGATGTATGTATACAATACAGTGATAGCATAAAGGAAAGAAGAATCAGTTCTGTCTCAAGTCCTTGCTACTTTGAGACTTTATTAAATTACTTCTCTTTTATTTCTGTTTTGTAAATTTGGTACAAAACCACCATAAAGGAGAATGTTCAAGGGGAACATGAGAGTATTATGCAAGGTATACACACTGCTGATGGAAGTTTTTTCCCCCTTCCAGACTCTGAGGACTGCTTGGCCTCTGACTCCTCAAATCCCCCTAGCCCTTCTTATTCCCCTTGGATTACTCTTTAGGCATTCACACGGTAGGGAAGTGAGAGGAGCAAAGGAAGACTGAGGCTGGCACAGTAAAATGGGTGAGTAGGACAGGGCCAGTCCACAGAGTGGGAAAGGAAGGTGGGAAAGAGAGCAATCCCAAGAAAACCTCTCAGGGGAGGTCCCGTTTGGATAAGAGACCAAAAGGCTGCAAGAGGGGTAAAACAGCCTCTGTCATGGAGGAGAAGAGAGCTCCCAAGGGCAGTTTTGGCTTGCCTTGGGCTGACCCCTGTACCTGACACTTCCAGATAGCCATCATCATTCAGGCGGCAGGCCTCAGTCAAAGTGAGAAACAGGCAGCCAATGGGATCCAGGGGGTGGCCCACCCAGCCTTCTAGGTTTGTGATCGTTGTGGTTCCTCTCTGCAACAGTTCTGGAAACAAGCAGGTCAAGGTTTCAGAGAGTGATAGAGACACACTGCTCTCTGTCCCTGCCCGGTCTCTCCATTAGTCTCTTCACCAGTCTCTTTCAGACACTGGCCCTGAAACTCAAAGTAAAGCTTCCCTCACTGTATTGCTCTGGGTTGATGAGACTGGTCACAAGCTCATCATCCAGCTCTGAGGCATGTGGTGTGCATTTAGGCTGCCTGCTGACAGCACACATATGTAGATACAGCTTTACAGATCTTCTCATACCAGATCTTAGTGGATTCAACTGTCCTGTGAGAGAGGCAGGCCAGCATTATTATTCCCATTTTACAGATAAGAAAACTGATATTCATAGAGGTAAAGTGAGGCACTCCACACAGCAAGGAGAATGACCTAGAATCCCCTAGCCGCTGTAACACCAGGAAACTTAATGAAAATTAAGTACTAGGCCTTGCAGCCCCTGAGGGTCCTCATCAGCCTCAGCCTAAGGAGTTAAGATGGCTCTTGATCACTATACCTTTCTTCTGATGCTTGTAGATTTCCAGCTGCCGTTGCTGCTGCAACCTCAGAGTATTGATAATGGCCACTGTGAGTCTGAGGGCCTCTTTTGGGTAACCATGGGAACGCAGGGCATCAACCCGAGCACAGGCTGTAGGCACATGCTCTACCAGATGAGAAGAAAATATTTTGATTGAGTTAAATTTTCAAATCAGGAAAATTCATGCTTGACAAAGGGAGACTGTATTCAGTTCAGTTCCTCAAATTCAACCTGACATCTACTGTGTACCAGAAATTGTATCTTACCTTTTAGGGATAGAAAGTTGAATAAGTCACACGTACTACCTCCAAGGAGACACCCTGCAGCCCCAGTGTAGTGGTTTGGTGTAGAAACGGACAAAGAACTAGGATAATAAAATGTTGTACCTCTTTGTGAACATGTACTACAGGAAGGCAATGTAGCAACAAACTGCCTTTATAGAGGGAAAGGCCTCATTTGTTTATTAATCCTATGCTTCCTGAGAACCTGTTAAATGCCAGGTAGCATGCTGGGCAAAGCAGCTACAAAGATGAATAAGAAATGGTCACTTTCCTCAAAGTGCTCACAAATGATACATAAACATATCATTATAAAACAGTTGAAAAGAAATGACATGATAGAAATATACACAGAAAGAAAATAATATTTGAGCTATATCCTTTGTAGGGCAAGTAATATTTTAAATATGTAGACAAGCAGGGAAAGGCATTCCTGGTTGCCTTTATATATAACATATAAACAGAGGCATATAAGTAAAAGCATAAAAAGTATTCTAGATAACATCTTCAGAGTACGGCAAATAGTTCTGTGTGGAGTTAGGTTATGCGGCTAGAGATAGCCTGGAAAGGTAGAGTCTGGGATGTTAAGAGTTTTGGATGCCATACTAAGGAGTTTGGATTTACCTTAGGTATAACAAATGACTACCAAAGGCTTATAAATGGGGAAGTGATTATAATGAGATTTACGGTTTATTTTGTGATTTCTTTTAAGATAACATTAAAAATTATACAAATAGTTATAGAAAATTTGAAAATATAGATAAAACAAAATAAAGATTGGAGATAACCATTATTTCTAGTTTCGTATTTCATTTTATGAAAAAAATATATATCCAGACTTTTCTATTTAATTTTAATAAAAATGGGATATTTTAATTATTGTTTTGTAACTAGGTTTTTCCACTTAATAACATATTGTAAATATTTTCCCATATTAAATACACTTCTATAACATTAAAAATGATTACATATCATTCCACTGAATATACATACTATCCATTAAGTCAATCAATCCCCTATTGTTGGACATTTAGATTGCTTCCAATTTTTCTCCTCTGTACATTATACATCCATGCTCTAATAAGCCCCATAACTTTATGCATATTCTTAGTTAATTATAGCTCAGGATAAATTCCTAGAGGTAGAATTCCTGGATCAAGGGCTATGAATGTATTTTAAAGGCTTTTGATAAATGTTGTTGAAATGTTTTAAGCATTTACATTCCTACCAGTAGTATATGAGATTACCTCTCCTACATGTAACCTCTCCTCTACCAAAACCTAATTATCTTTATTTATAAAATTTCTGACTATTTGACAATTGAAACATGATAATTCAGTGTTGTTTTGATTTGCATCTTTGTTTATTAATGAGGTTATATTTTTTCTCATGCTTGTTATATATATGTTTTAGAAGTGTTAGATCAGAGAAGAAGAAATATAATCAAAGGGAATTTCAGGTGGATTCAGCAAGATCTTGTGAAAGACAAAGATATGGGGTGAGGGATGGAGGTAGGGAATTGGGAGATGATAATAAAAATGTACGCAATTGTCGTTAAGACTCAGAAAATGCATATTTTTAAAAAGTGTCTAGTTTGGAATGGGCATTCTGTAATAAAGTCAAGAACAGATTGACAGAGGCTAGGGGAGGGTTTAAACTCCCAATGGCACAGCTCTATTCTGTTATGATGGCGGAAGGAACGAGGAAAGGAAGACAGCTTGGTGACAAATGCAGACAGTGCCTTAGCTACTAGTACAGAGTAATTTAAGTTTCAAAGTTCATGCCTTTTCAGCAAAATATGTAATTTCAGAGTAGATTACAATGTTGTTCAGTAACTGCTGACTGAGAGAGCCTGTGAACTAATGTCTAATGATTTTGTTAGTACTCTTTCAGATTTACTAACTCCTTTCCCCTCCCCAAACTTAGGAAACAATATAAATCCCTCTATTTGAGGTTACTGTACCTCACTTGTACATATGCAAATCGCCCAGGCTACACATAAATACCCTGAGGCCCTAGTCAAGGCCCCAGAAGATCTGTATGAAGACTGTCCAAAGTGTAGTTGTGTTGCTGGTACCTATGCAGATGGCTCACTCAAGCTTGGCATGAGGTGAGAGAGGGCTCTGAAATTCTGAGAGTAGGACAGGTACACTTACCAAGCCACAGTGGCTGGCCTTGGGAATTAAAGAGTAGTCTCTCACTTTCCTGCTGGCAGGCAGGAGCTATATATACATCACTGCTGATTATTCGCTGTAAGTGGCTGTCCTGCCAATGCAATTCACGGCCCTCGATGGCTCTAGTAAACACTGTCCGTCTTGGTCTGGATAAAGAATCTGGGGAAAGAAAGAAATGCAGCAGTTCAATGATGGGTAATCTGAAGCTCTAGCTCCTGTGTCTTCTTCAGGGTGGGAGGAATGGCAGAAGAATAGTGTACAGTTAGTGACAGCAGTCACTCTGCCATCTGTCTGGGTGTTTGTTGTGTTGCTTCTTTGTTGGATAGCTTTTAGTGTGTCTGTGCCCTCTATGGGAAAACCTTTCTACATAGATCTATGGCTGAAGACCAATTTCTCCTAGGACCCAGAGCCACATGAAAGAGAGGAGGGACAGTGGTGCTCAGCTGCTCAATTATGAGGATACAAACTGCTTCTATAGAAGCCAGAGGAACAGAGAAGCAGCTAGGTAATGTCCCTGGCCAACCCATAACCTGTTTCTTTTACAGCATGACCCACATCAGACTAAGTACTTCTGTGACATTGATATAAAAGCTGAAAAAGAGCTGAAGCCCTGTGTATTCTGGTATCTTTATCACACTAGTGTCTGCAAGCTTACAACCTTGTTCTCCCATAAGAAAAATTGATGCTGACAAAAGACTAAATTGTTTTCTCACTGGAGTCCTACCATGCCATCTCTCTTCAGGAAAAGGGCTGCAGGGAAACAGTAGATGAAGTAAGCTCAATTCTTCAGGGTGGTGTGTAGGAAGACCAAATGGAAGATACAATCATAAAATGTGGATATAGAAGGACTCATGGAAGTGACATTTAAGGAAATAAAAACATAAACGATCATTTAACTCTCTGCCAGACTAAGAACAGTTGAAACTATTTTGGGATCAAGAACTGAAATACAGCTATTTCCAGAGATGCCCAAATGAGTTGTGCATCTACTGAGCCTGTGCAAAAATACTGGGAGGGAAAGTCAGAGGATTCAGACTGAACATGAAAGAAATGAACATATTCATCTACTAAGCAAAAGTCCTTGGAATCTGGTCATCTCTTCAGAAACCTGTATATTCCTTAGAGTGCAGGCTCAGAGGATTAAATCAGAATAGCACTGACAATATTTACTGAAATTGCTTCTCCTTCATGTCACCCCTCAGTTGAAGCACAGCGACCCTTCTACTGGCTGCAGTCGGAGCCCCTCTCCTGTTAAACTGAGAATCCACCGTGGGTCTGCTCAGCCCACAGTGGGGATTAGGCTCCCAATATGTTTTGTATTTCATGAAGTCAGCAAATAATGACTGCCTATACTACATGGCAGGTACTGTTCTAGGTATTGAGGATATAAGAAGTCCTTGGTTTCATGGACCTTTATATTCAAATGGGGAGAGACAGTTAAATGAATGTATAGTATAGTAAATATATAAGATGGTTATGAGTGCTAAGGAAGAGACTAAAGCAAAGTTAGGGAGAAAGGCAAGTTGGTATTGGGTGGGGGTTATTGTTTTATATAGCATGGTTTTTAATAAGGTAACATTTGAACAGAGACCTGAAGGAACTGAAGAGCAAGCCTCAGATATAACTAAGGGAAGAGCATCCTAGGCAAAAGGAACAGCAAGTGCTACTGGTGGGAACATATTTGGAGTGTTTGAGGGTAGTGACGAGGCCAGTGTACCTAGAATGGAGTAAATAAGCAGGAAAGTCATAGGAGATGAGGCCAGAGAGATACTAGGAAACCAGACCATGGAGGGCCTTCTGGGCCATGAGGCAAAAATGAGAAGTCACTGGAGGTCATTGAGCCATTGAAGGTATATGATCTGATTTGCATTTTAAAAGGACAACTGGCAGCAGTATTGAGAACAGACTTTACGATGGAAGCAGTTAGGAGGCCACTGCAATAATTTGTGAAAGATGATGGTAATCTGTTCAGAGTAATAAGCAGTGGAGGTGATGAGAGTAAATGAACCCTGGATATATTTTGAAGGTAAAGGTAATAGGATTTGCTCATGGATTAGATCTGGGATGAGAAAGAGAAGAATCAAGGATGACTCCAAGGTTTTTAAGATAGACTTGTCATATATGGAGACAGGGAAGACTGCAGGAGGAGCAGGTTTGGGTGGGGCTAGAGGGGTAAGAAATCCTACTGAGATCCTATTAATATCTAAGCTGAAGCATCAAAAAGGTAGATGAACATGTAAATCTGGAGTTGAGAGGAAAAGTCTGGGCAAGAGATATAAATCTGGATGTTGTTAGTATATAGATGATTATTAAAACAATGCAATTACCAGGGGAGTAAATATAGAAAGAGAAGTGGTTTGATAACTGAGTCCTGGGTACTCTAGCATTTTAGGTTGGGAAGTGGTGGGGAGACAGTAAAGGAGACTGAGAAGGAGGGGCCCATGAAGAGGAGAACCAAGAGAGTAGTGTCTTGGAAATTAGGTGCTTGAAGGAGAGAGTGATCGATTGTGACAAATACTGCTGATCGGTCAAGTAAGATTCTGACTGAGAACTAGATTTAGCAATGGTTAGCGTTAGTGACCAGTACAAGAGATGTTTCAGTACTGAAGGGATGAAAGCCTGACTGGAATGAGTTGAAGAGAGAATAAGAGCAGAAGAAGTAGAGAAGATAAATATATAATATTCTTCTGAGCAATTTTCTTAATTCTACCACTTATTTCTACTACCTCAGAGAAACAAGGTGGTAGACAGAGAGTCATGTGGGGTCAACAAGAATGTTTTTTGCTTTGTTTTGTTTTGGGATGAAAGATAAAACAATGTGCTTGTATACTCAGAGGAATAATCCACAAAAACCTGTGACACAGGAGAGAGTAGAAATAGTTCCTGGGGTGATGTCCTAGATAAAAGGAATAAGATCTCAAGAACAAGTGGAGGGTTTGGACTTAGACAGAAGCACAAACAAAAACAGCAGAAGAGGCAGAGTAGATGGGTAGAGACAGAAGCAGATGTGGTGACAGAGTTTTGGAAATTCTCTTCTGATTGCTTCTATATTCTCAGTGAACAGGAAGCAAGTCTTCAGGATGAAAGTGAGGATGGGGAGAAAGTATAGAAAGTTTTAAGGAAAAGATGGTGTGAATTAGTAATTTAGAAGACTGAAAGAAGGCATAGACTAGGGAAATGTAGTTGATGTCTGGACAATACTATGGACCCACTTGAGATTAGTGGTCATAAACTTAAGATAAGACCAGTTATCATAGTCATGTTTCTCTCCACCATGTTCAGCTGTGCGGGTGTGAGCACCGAGTAACTAGAAAGTTAGACTGAACTACTAAGGTTAGGGTTTTGCTATGTGAGTGTAACTAAGGGAACGAGGGGGTTGAGTATGTATGCAAGGTAGTGATTATAATGATGCACCAAGGAATCTAATCGGGATAAGAAGGAAAATGAGGCTACCACAAGAATGAAAAAGTGATAGGATCAAAACTCCTAGTGGGTCAAAGAATTACTGGAACTGGAATACCAGAGAAAATAACCTAGTAAGACTGGTGGTGCTAATTAGAGCTGCTTGAAATTGCGACTATGAAGAAGGTGTAGTTATTGGTAATGGCAAGCTTTAGGGTATGATCTTGGGGTTGCATAGCTAAGTTATGATAGAAGATAGACTATTAAAAGACAGGAGGTCAAAGAACTGAAAGACTGGAATACTGAAGGTACCATCTATGTGGCTATTTAAATGATCAAGAATCATGACAGAAGTAGAGGCAGAGAGTAGTGTTAGTGAGCCAGTAACCAAAACTCTTCAAGGAATGAGGGGGCCTGCCCCAGAGGTCAAACGACCAAACCCTGGAGGGCAGCAGACAGCATATTTTAACAGCACTGACTTTAAAGCTGGGGGGTATTTTAGGAAGGAGGGTAGGACAATGATGTAGAAATGGCAATGAAGAATAAACAGGATGCCTATTGCTCCATCAGGCCCAAAGGTAAAGAGATGTGAGAGATAAATCAGCCACAGCTTGAGAAGACAAGAGGAAACAACATTCTCAAATATACTGTCACCAGTATACTGTGACAAGGAAGAAACTGCCAGACTGGAGGCATGTGTTTATACACATGTGGCTCTCTCTATACCAAACCAAAGTCAATACTAAAAGGATAGATTCCTGTGTTGTGGAGGTTAGATGAATGCCAGCAAAGGGTAGCTTCAAGTGGCAAAGTTGTAGGCTTTTCATCTCTCATTACCTTGGTTGCCTTAAATACACTGATAATCAATTATGGTACAGTAGACGAAGACCAAGCAAGAACAATAATTTAAGTGATTTCCTCCTAGAGGTTAAAAATATCAGTAGATTTATCGCTTAAAATAAAAGGGAGGACATGTAAAATCAATGTCTGATAAAATCTACCAATAAAGGATCCCCATGGGCTAAAGAGCAATCAATTGCCAACAGCAAATGGCCTGAGTTAGATGAACTAAAGCTGATGTGAATGTCGATGTCCAGTGATACCTGGTCAGCGGGCTCAAAAGGCAGAGGGTACAATATCACTGTACTGGATTTGTCTTAAAATGGAGCAAGAGTCCTAGCCATATCTCGGAACGATGACCCCCTCCTAGAAATCTGCTGTATAAAAATTTGAGGAAAACAGAGAAAAGTAAGTAAGAAAGGCAACTGTCAGGACATTTTTTTAAGTTGTTTTTTTATTTTTTCTCCCAGGTCTTCTATCATTCCCTTGAGGTACGTCTTCTGAGCTAAAACCAACCCAAACTGAGGCCAAGATCCATTAGTCATGAAAAACTTGAAGAGGATTCATGAAGAGGGCTCTAGGAATTTATGCTGGGCACTGTAAGGACACTCTAGATGTGGAAAAGGACAGCATCCTCAATGTCAAAGATACAAGCTTACCCTTATTTAAGGTTTGGCATTTCAAGACAAACAAAAGAACAGGCTTTTCTTATTTAGGATGACAATTCTGACAGTCCAAAAGTTGTCCAGCCACCTTTGTTCTCAGGCTTTACCCTCCGACCTTTTGGAGTTCTAGGCATGAAGACGCTAAAATGATATCTGGCTCACCTGAACGGTGACTGGCATTCTGGGGAAGTGCGTTGGTGATGTTGGGCAGCTCATGCCCATAGTTCCCATCCTCCAGGGGACAGACATCCAGGTCATTCCACTTCTGCAGCTGCTGCAGCCAACAGGATTTTTCCTCCAATTTGCAATGTGGATTTAAAATGATGCACACCCATAACGCCCCTGGAAAAGAAAGCAACCCACATTCTTGACATCTCTCCTTTGATGTATGTCTAAGCCTTAATTTTTCAGTTTACTCTTTTCTTCCATTTTTTGTTGGTAGGAAAAGTTTCCAAAATATCAGCTTTTCTCAATACAAAAAACCAAATCTAAAAATAAACCAGCCCCTGGGCTTCCCTGGTGGCGCAGTGGTTGGGAGTCCGCCTGCCGATGCAGGGGACACGGGTTCGTGCCCCGGTCCGGGAGGGTCCCACATGCCGCGGAGCGGCTGGGCCCGTGAGCCACGGCCACTGAGCCTGCGCGTCCGGAGCCTGTGCTCCGCAACGGGAGAGGCCACAACAGTGAGAGGGAGGCCCACACACTGCAAAAAAAAAAAAAAAAAAGAAAAACCAGCCCCCAAACCAAATCTGCTAAAGTTTTCAGAAATGCTTATTTTTCCTTCCCAAAGGTTTCTTAAAGCAAAGTGACTATCTTGATATCTGGATATATGCCCATGATGATGAACAAGACAGATTTGGGCTTGAATTCCGAGCTCAGATCTGCAGTCCAACAAACATTTATTGAGAGAGTTCTTGTTCAAGACCTTGTATTGGAGAATAAGACCCTGTTCCTACCCTTGAGGAGCTGTCCAATGGGGGAGATAGATAAATAAACACAGTGTCATTTGAATATGATAAGTGTTAAGATAAAGATATATTCAGGGTACAATAATAGCACAGAGGAAGGGCATTTAGCATAAGAAGGAAGGTGCTCAGAAAAGGATTTTAGTTGACCTTAGACTTTCTGAGCTTCAAATCCCTCAACTGTAAAACTGAGATCATAATGTAAAGGGCCTAGCATATTATTTGGCACAGAGTGGAATTTAGTATTTCCCTTTTCCAGGGAAAATCGTTTATTTGTACTTGGATTTTGATACTGTTGATCAGCTGTGATGCCTTAAAACTATCACATTCTTGGATCTTCTCTGTCACTATAGCAGAGTATCACATATTCCACATAACCAATGAGTACTGTTTCTTTGACCACATCACCCTTCTTTGCAAGCAAACCTGCTTCTTATTTTCAAAGTTGGCTATGTGGCTGAGACAGAAGTATTCTCAATCTCAAGTTAACAATAAGCCTGGCTGCAGAGTGTCTTAAGTTAAACATCCTTTGGGATGGTGTTACATACATAGACGGCAGTATATTCAGACACTATTTCAAGGCCCCTCAAAGTCAAATAGGAATGTTTTAAAAGACCATTTAAGCCTCAATTTCAGGCACTAGCTAGAGGTGATGAAAATTCATTTCTATTGGCTCAATTCAGTTTTTCAAATCCACAATGAAAAAGAAACTACACTATGTAATATAATAGTATTATATAATGATGGTTCTTAAGGGGATTATAATTAGGAGTCCCTCAAAATATAATTATACTAAAGCATAGTAAATGCTATTATAACCACATATAAAATGCTATGAGAATATGTATGATGGAACAATTAACTCTGTAGGTGGGGTCAGGAAAAGTTATAACATTTGAGTTTGTCCTTGAAGAACAAACATGAGTTAATTCTAGTTAAAAAATGGCTAACTAAATACATATGCTCATCATCAGTCCCTCCTGATGCTTCACTAAAATGACAGTAGAGGGATAAGAACAGGCATAAACTCACATAGACACACAGAATGGGAGAGATGAAAAAGAAGAGTCATAAAATTGGGAATCTGGAAGGCATGTGGATGAGAAATAGCTGACATAGCAGAAGAAAGTTGAAAACTCCATCAGCAGTTAGGAAAGCCCAGCAGCAGACTGATTCATGCTGCAGAGCCCCGCTGAAAGTGGGGCCGACATATAGTGGAACAGGTTAGAAGTTTGTCAAAGGTCTCAGGATCACAGACTTCCTCCTCTATTCAAGGTAGCTCAGTGCCTGTTCATTCTCTCTCCTGGAAGAAAACCAGAGCTTTACTCACTGGAAAGATAGATTCGGAGAGGCTCTGGATTGGGAATACTGTGTACAACTGAGGGTGAGGTTTCCATGCGAAAAACTGAGGGAGTAAGAAAAATATACATATTGTACAAATGGACACACTTACCCCCACCATCCAACCCTCTTTCCCTATTTGGTTCTGAGAAAAGTGTGACAGGCTTATAATCCAGACATGGTGTTCATGTCCTAGTGTTTTGTGGAAGGTAGAACTTGTGAGTAACAAAATTAGCTGAGGAAATATCTAAGCAAAGTGTTGAAGGAGCAGCCTGGTTTCTCTTGACTGCTTATAGTAAAATGCAAGAAGAAAGAAATTATTTAAAGACAGAACTGTGAATCAAAAAGGAAGCAGAACTTAAAGATGTGGAACATGCTTAGCCTATCCACATTGAAAAGAATGAGAAAGCCTGTTTGGGAAAGAATATAACGGTGTGACCCTTAGAGAGGTAAATCTTCATCTTTTATTGTAGGGATAAAAAGAGAATACATAGAATTAAAAAATCAAAAAAGAACAGTTATTTAGAAATGTGGAGGCATGTCAGAAAAAGCAGCTAAAAGAATTAAAAATTGCTCTTTCTGAGAAGTAGGAACTGACAATGTGAAGGAATATGGCATAGGAATATTGTTTTTTATTATAAAGTTTGTAGAACTCTTTGACATTTTAACCTGTATACGTGTATTACTTCATTTTGAAAGAAGAACGAGAGATAAATAGGAGTGGTTGGGGCGGAGAGATCGAGGGACGGTATATACCCAAACAGGAGAAAGGACACAAGCGAAGACAAAGACGTTCTCATGAGTCATTTTAGTCTCTTTGGATATTTAGTCTATTGGATGTTTTTTCCTTTTGGTAGAAAATTTTTGTAATCTAGGATGTTAGCTTTTAGTACTATTGGGACTGTGAGTTCCTACCAATTACAGTGTCCTTTCTGAACACCAGGTGGCAGGAAATCCCTAATATATAGGAGGTAAAGGAGGTAAAAAATTTCTAACCGTGTGACAGTAAGAAAGATGCACAAATATTCAGATCATAAAAATTACTTTCTCTACTTTTAGAATTTAAGAATCCTAAAGGCCTGTATAAACCTCAAGAAAAAAATTTTTTCTTCACATTGTAGTCTTTTCCTATGGTGTCTGTGTTACACTGTTTGCTGGTTCTTGTAAAATTAATGTAGGGATAGGGTCCCACCCACCAACAAACAAAAAAGATAAGAAAACCTCATTATTTAAGATGCGGGAAGAGGAGCGCTAAGAACACAATTTTGAGGAAGCACCAATATTTATGTAATGAGCAGAGGAGAAGGAGGAATAAGCAAAAGAGATTAAGAAAGAAAGATAAGAGAGATGGAAGAACCAGGAGAAATTAGTGACACACAAGCCAATTAGCAATGTCTAATGAGGCAGAGTGTCAGTATTAGTAAGAAACATTTACTTTACAGTTTAAGATGTGCTTTTTGTTTATAGTGAAGTAAAAGATTCTCACATTTAATCTTCATAAGTATAACGAGAACCAAAGAGAGGCCATTAAACTTGGCCTTATGAATGGCAAAATCAATAGGATAACAGGAACAGAAAACAGATTGGGTGAGTTGAGAGAGGCTTAAGAGGCAAAAAAAGCAGGGAACTAACTACAGTCATCAAGGAGTTACCACTTCCTAGGCACTGAAATATTAAAAAGGGGATCCCTAGAAAGTGAGTACTTTCACCTGTAAGTTTAAAATGAGTTTTCTGTTTTATTAAGTCATTATGGATTTGTTTTAAAACAAACTCAAGAGATTGCTGCATCTCTAAGAAAGAGACAAGGCAAAAAATCCTGCAGGTGCCTACATGTAACAGGCATGTAGGGACTGTGTTACCATGATCCAAAAGCAGATTTTCCAGCAACTTAAAAAAAGCATCACCTGAGGATACAGGGAGGGGGAAGGGTAAGCTGGGACAAAGTGAGAGAGTGGCATGGACATATATACACTACCAAATGTGAAATAGATAGCTAGTGGAAAGCAACCGCATAGCACAGGGAGATCAGCTCAGTGCTTTGTGACCACCTAGAGCGGTGGGATAGGGAGGGTGAGAGGGAGGGAGACGCAAGAGGGAAGAGATATGGGGACATATGTATATGTATAGCTGATTCACTTCGTTATAAAAGAGAAACTAACACACCATTGTAAAGCAATTATACTGCAATAAAGATGTTTAAAAAAAAACATCAAAAACTCTAACCAAGTGTAGGTACTATGGAAGTTAAAATTTTACATAATTATTATATATTAAATATAATAAATAATAGCAACTATTTCTTTTTATGGGCTACGCATTATAATAGGCACTTTATATATATTATCTTATTCAGTCTTCCAACTGTGCGGGTCAACAGGACTTGGATTGGGTGTAGAAGGTAGAAAACAGAGGGAACCTAGGTTGACTCAGATTTTCTTCTTGAGCAGCTAGATACATCTCACGACCCTGTACTGAGATGGGGAAAATTAGGCCTTGGCGGGAAAAATAAGAGTTCTGTGATGGTCATGTTAAGTTTGAGATGTTTCTTAGACATGGTGGGAAGCTGGACACTGAGCCTACAGCTCAAGAGAAAGGTCAGAGCTAGAGACATAAATCTGTGACTTGCCTACATCTAGATTATATTTAAAGCCATGGGACTGAATATGATCACTTAGGTACAGAACGTAGACAGGGCAGTGGGTACTGCAGAATACTCAATATTTAGAAGGATTGAGAAAAGGAAGAGGAGCCTACAAAGCAGTCTGACAGAAAGTAGCCAGAATGTGGGAGGAAACCCAGGAGGGTGTGTGGGGTTATGAAAGCTAAGAGAGTACGTTTCAAGATGGGTATGGTCAATTTTATTGAAAACTGCTAAGAGGTCAAGTAAAATAACAACAGAGAAGTGGCCACTGCAATATGGAAGTCACTGGTGACTGTAGCAAGAGCTACTTGTCAGTAGAGTGGCAACAAT